CCAAGGAATGAGTTTCTGAGGCACCTGCTGCACAGTGAAACAGCCATCCGAGCACTAACTCATTTTGGACAGAAGTGAATCCGAAATGCACATCTGGAAGGGCCTTATCCCATCCTCCTGGCCAAACAGTTTATCAGTAGTGGAAGGAAGCTTGGCTTCAGTGTTTCTCAATAACATCTCTAAATGCTATGGGGCCAGATCCTGCTACCCAGGCACAATGTGGATGAAAGGCAGGCTGGAGAGAGAGTAACGTAACCCCCACAGCACAGGCCAGGCAAGCTGGGATGGGGCGGAGGGGGGAAGGGGGGGGGGGGGGGGGGGTTAAGCCACCACAACCAGAGGTGCTTTCGGTAGCTAGCCTGGCCCAGACTCTCCTCCTTGCGGTTACGGGCTCTGCTGGGAACCCGTTAACCTCCTGACACCGGGTGGGTACGTCCCCTTCTCGCCCTAACCCTTCCCTGGTGCAGGAGCGTACTTCGGGGTTGCAGCGCGTCACACATAGCTTAGAAGGGTTTGTATGTCAGCATGAAGCCGAATCTGCCTCGGCCCCCAAGTAGCCTCTCCCTTCCTCTTTGCACAGCCTTATGTGGCTAAGCCGGATCCCATTCCCTGTGACCGGGAACATGGGAACTTCCTCACTCCATCCTCAGATGGGGGACTCAGAAGACTCAAAAAAGGGCAGATCTGGCTTCCCGTTTTCCCTGAAGTGTTTGTGAGCAGAAACAATAACCCTGTTGACATACATGTAGGGATAACATGTTGCTCTCCTCAAAACGGTGGGGCAGGACTGGGAAATCACTAGAACTCTTTTCGTTGTCCCAGGGAAAGGTGGCTCCACTCCACTCCTTCCTCACGTAACTGGAGAGGATTTGTCTCGCCGAGCAGTTCCTCTTCTACGGAAATGGTTTTTTGTCAAATCGGAAACCTCTGAGTTTTGTCGGACTTCTTGTCCGGAGAGACCGCTCAGGTCCACCAGAGGATCAGAGGCAAAACAAGGGGGTAAGAAATCGGGGTATCACCATGCTGTTGCCGGGGCACTCCTGTGGGGTGCAGAAGTCCTTCCTTCTTCAGAAGCAATGTCATAGTTCGGGTCAGGAGTGATCCAGAGATGGTTCCCCGTTACCCTTGTTTTGGTTTGCGTCACGAAGTGGTCTTGGACTGTGCCCCCCAGATTGCCGTAGGGTGGCACAGCAAAGGGGCTCCCCCAGTGGCTTTCAGGCCATCGCTCCACACGAGCGGCTGCCAGGGAAAATTGCATGTGATGCCCTTCCACCCTTATGCGTTCCTGTACAAGAAATCAGCTTGGCCAGCCCTCGTTAAGGGCTCAGCCTCACGTACTGTATGCAAGCAAAACTATTCTTGATGTCTGTGTGACGGACAATCATTCTGGGTTTACTTTTGTGTGCTACTGGTCATACATAGAAACTTAGTGATGAAACCACCTCCCCAAAAGAGGACGTATCGGTTACCGTGTTTTCAACGGTGGATCTGATGACCTTTTGCAAGAACAGAGCTGAACAAAAATTTACTTATGAGCTAAAAGAGGGTATTAGAGCTTAGAAAAACATACAAAAGCAATGGGTGTGTACTTTTAGAAGGAATCTGCGCTCTATCTGTAAGGCAACCTCTTATGCTTCACGTGATGCAGACTGCAAGATGTCACCGGAGGCATTTATTGTGAAAGTGACAGTCCCCAGAACTTTGCATATGGTTTTTTTCTGAGTGTCATATGATATGAATATATGAATTCCTCCTAACTCTTTGTGAGCATGAGAGGCAAGCGTGAGAGCAGTGAGGCAAGAAAGATGAAGATCTAACAAGATTAATTTGAATGCAAGACTAAACACATTTGTTTAAAAAAAAAAAAAAAACCAACCACCTTGAAGTAGGTTTCTCTTGGAATGCTGCTAAACATGACTTTATGAGTAATGCATGTTTGTCTGCTTGTCTGTTTAAAACATACGGCTTTTTGTTGCTTGGGAGCTTCATTTGGGTGGTCACCGTGTACATGGCAAGCTTCCTACAGGAGCTGGTGCAAATACAAATGATAAATATTTGGAAAGGAGACAGTCTTTGGTCGTGAGTGGAGGAGTGCGAAGAAACAGGCAGCTCTCCCTTACACTTCTCTGCATTATAAGCCCTGGTAAGCAATGTAACGTTCTTGCTTTCTAGGAAGCAAAGAAAAAGTTTAATTACTCTTACAGCCAGATGCTGTACATAGTTTTAACGTAGGGTCCAAGCAATAGGAGGCTGGATTTGGTGAAAAGGTTGATTTCACCCTTTCATGCTTCCTAATGCTCCAGTCAACCTAGCGGGACTAACAGAGTCTTCTGCTTTTCTACATTACTGCTGTAGATTGTGAATTTTTTTCATATACTTTGTTTCAAAAATGTGTGCCAGTTGGATGATTGCTGTGGTGAACTGACACAAGTCCCGCTGTGGCTGGCCTGCCCAATTCGGTGAAATATTTAGTGAGGAAGGTTATTCATTCAGCAGAACTGAGCAATCCTCCAGCTCATGCTGTTTATAATTGAAAATGATTTCTGGGTGAGTGAGTTAATTATTTCTTGCTGTCTCACTACCCTCTACCTATTCTAAAACTGTGTATTGACCTTCAGGAACAGCTGAATTTCAGCCATATGGTTCCTAGCATATGCTGGTTATTTTGGTTGGGGTGAACATTTACTGTTTCTCTTAGGAGGTTCAGACATAAATAAAAGTTTAGAGGACCTCTGGGTAAATATGTTCATGGTTCAGCACTTTAATGTGTCAATTAGCTAGTAACGGTGTCTATAAATTGGACCTGTCAAAAATAATAGCTTCCTTGCCAATCTTCATCTCCCACTTTACCTGTGTGCCTCAAGAAATACATTACACACCACCAAAAGTAGTAAAAGCCAACTTTTCCATGCCTATAGCAAAAATTAACAAAGCAAGACTGCTTTCTTCAGACTTGGGTCTTATAAAGTAAGAACCACCTTTTGAAATCTTCATAAAGCCCTTTTCCTACTGACGTCCCTTGGGTTTTGCCCGAGTGAAGAAAAAGGAGTAAGAACAGGGGATTTGACTCAAAAGCAGAGGTGTGCCTACCACCGGAGTTTGAACTGAACTTTTTGGGAGTACGGTTTTATGTCACTCTTGAGGAAATTTTACTCTGCCCAGTTGGATGAGAAAGGTGGTCATCTCGCCTGAATTTAGGTAACCGCAATCTGGCTGTTCGCTCTGAGTCACCCTAGGCTCTCCGCTTCGTTTATCATGAATGGAGAAAAGGAGGTTTCTCCAGGGGGCGGCTGATCTTCTACCATAGGAGTCTACCTTATAGTTCAGACTTAACAGACCTAATTATGGTGATAAACACTTCAACGGGCAGAAATTACTCTCTCTTTCTTATATTCCAACATGAAAGGCGTACGACAGTTACAAGTTATTTCACTGACTATCGCGTTTCTTTAGCAGATGGGCTACAGAAGCACGTTGCAAATGAAAGAAGTCTATATGCATGCCAACAGATGCAGATAAATGGCAGTAGGTTGCGTTCGCAGATGTGCAGCAGAGCACCTAAATTTGGTAGGACTGATAAAACGGGGTGTTACGCGGTACAGTTGCTTCCTGTGTGCTGCTTGTTGCTCAAAGCTGTGAACCAATGGGTTTTTTAAAAATACTGTTCAAACACAGAGCGGTCATCCTGGAGCTGATATGCCTCCAGCAGCGGCCAAAATGGGTGACAGTAAGGAGAGCAGAGGGCGGCCAAGCATCAGCGATAGCCATCTGCAGCTCAAGGACCTGCCAGCCAGACACAGATTTCTCTTTCACGAATGTATCCAGTCTCTTTTTGAATCTCTGTGAACCTTTAGCATCCACATATCCCGTGGAAAGGAGTTCCACAACTTCGTTACATGAACAAGCACACTTTTTGGTTTGATTCTGCTGCCTTCTGTTTTCATTAGATGTCCTCTAGTTCCTGTTTCAATATATTAATTTCCTGTATATTGAAAACTTTTATGCAGGTGTGTGGGGGGGTTGTTTATTTGTTATTACGCAAAATTTGGTGTAATAGGCAGTGAAAACGTGGTTTAGCTCTCAACATTTCCATCCACTGGAGATCAAAGCGAAAAGAATGAATGCCCTAACAGTGGCAGTACATTTTCATTTTAAATGAGATGTAACAACAGGTTGTGAAGAAAAACATCTTGTGGTGGTTATTCAGCTGTGTAAGATTACAGTGCTCCACCCTGTAAAGGGTGATATGAGATAATCACAGTCTTTCAATTACAAGGTATTCTTGGAAGGGAGAAGAGGCCAAGCAACCCGTTGTCCTGCCGAAAGGCCCTGCCCCTGGGAGGTCCAGCTCAGAGCAGCCTCAGCCAGCACAGCAAAATTGTACGTGGCTAAAGCCAGCCACGTTTGTCCAGGCTTAAGTGTGGCAGTAGTTTGTTTTATCTCAAAGGGTTACTGCTGTCCATGAAGCTGAGCACGTGTTTGACTTCCTTGCAGAATGAGGGCCTTCTTGGATCCAAATCAAATCAGTGGCATGTCCAGGCAGCCCCAGGACCCCAGCCAGGGTCAGTGCTGCCAATCTGCTGCCGGTCGTCTTGCATCTGCGACACACACGCACGACAAGACTGACACGTAAGACTTGCTTTGTGTGCACAGAGTGGCTCTGCAACCTCTGACAGCCGCTGTGCAGACCACGTGGAGTTGCTCTTCAAAACCTCATGGGTACAACCTCTTGCAGATACTGTACCCAATGCCACGGGATTATTTTTTGCAGCCCTGAGTACCATAGTATGTTTCTTAGGAGCTGGGCTCAGGTGATGATGCCCTGTGAAGGGCATACATCACCTAGGAGAATACACTCAATGGTAAGGTGACATTACTCCAGCCAAGGTCGGAGTCGGTTTGCAATAGTGAATGCCTAACGCTGCGCAGAGGGAGAGGAGCTGCAGCGAAACCCGTTGTGGTCCCAGTTCTCACGTTAGCCTTACTTTTTCTCACTGCAGGTTACATCCAAGCCTGCAGAGGACTGATGATCTCTGCCGTCTGCCTGGGCTTCTTCGGTGCCGTTTTTGGACTGGTTGGGATGAAGTGTACAAAAGTCGGAGGCTCCGATCAGACTAAAGCAAAAATAGCTTGTTTAGCTGGACTGATTTTCATACTCTCTGGTAAATATACCTTATTTCTCTAAGTTTGGGTATTTGAAGTCATACCAGAGCTGCTTCTTTTCCGCAGAAGTCCACACACAATTCTCCATGACTTCATTGGCTTCAGGGTCAGGCCCAAAGCTCTTCTGCTGGCTCCACTGAATGGTTTGTCTTATGCTTTTCAGGGTTGTGCTCTATGACTAGTTGTTCCCTGTATGCAAACAGGATTACGTCTGAGTTCTTTGATCCTTCTTTTGTTGCACAAAAGTAAGTACTTTCCTATACCCATAAATCTTTCAAAGAAGTAGACCTTAAGTTTCATACTGCGCACCAGAAGCTGTTTAAAGAGGGAGCAGGTGCTTCTCCTGTTGGGCAGAGAAGGAGAGTGGGCTGCAGTTTTATTTATTCATATTTTCCAACTGTAGTAACAGTGTGCTGAAATTTAATGAACGAACACCTCCCCAGTGGGGAGGTGATTGCTCTGTAATCTTTGTGCCCAGGCTTATGGCGGCTCGGCGGGGTTCTGCCCCGCTTGCCGCAGAGCAAGTGGGGTTAATCAGGAGTGAAGCTCGTGTTTATGTGAGAGATGCAGCAAAAGGATTTCACAAGACAGAGGCATTCATTAGGCGCATCATTCGATAGGAAAGGAAGAAAATGATTTCCTCAAGCTCTTGGTAGAAGGTGGTTTCCATAAAGGTGTCGAGCACTGTGCCATCTTGACTCCTCTTGAAGAGAGGTTTTGGCAGGCTCTGTGGACTTCTTGCTGACAGACTTTCAAATCCAGATGACTGAAATTTGGATCATAAGCCCTATCGTAACCCGCGATCATATAAGCACTAACATAAATGCTTTGACTATACATGTAATTAAATTTAAGGGAGCGAGTGTTTATAGAATGGCAGGATCCATACCAGAAATAATGAGCATCCCTAAAGACTCCCTTTAAAGCTGTGCAAGTCCTCAGGACCTACAAAGGCAGCAATTCACGAACCAGTGCTTGGATTTTGGATTCACATCTTATCCACCAAGTCTGAAAACATTGGCTGTAAATTACACCATCATAGACGTCCTTGGTTTGGCTTCTTACCTAATGTAAAATTATCTTTAAAGACAAGAATTTCAAAGTTTTCTTGGTGGTGATTCCAGAATATGTCAAGCATTGGGTATAAATTTCCCTGAGACCCAAGTAAGGTCTCAGTAAGGAACCCCGAGCCTTTCTGTTTCTTCTTGATAGAAAGAAAATAGTCTGAATAAATAACATTAACTGGATGCACGTTTGCGGTAGGGCTGACACTGCTTCTCCTGTCTTGAAAACAAGTTCATATTAGTTTCCTCCATAATTCTGCTATAGTTTCTGCTTGTTTGATACGGTGAGGACAGGATTCAAAGGCCTCCGAAAGAAACAAGGATGTGAGGTACTGTGAAGAAAATGGAGCCTGGCTATATAGCCAGAAGTTAATTATTCATCAGGCTTACTGTTCCTAGTGAAAAATACCGTGGTTGTTGCCAGAAGTTGCTTTCCTGCACTGTATTCCTACACTGTTCTGCTGCAAAAGGGCAGGCAGACCTCACAGCAGAGTTTTACTGTGCGCAAATGAGAAGTTCAGTTTAAATATTGAAATAAAGGTAGTAAAACATCCTCTGCAGAAATTACCTTTTTCCCGAACAACCAGCATAGCTCAACTGCATGCACACATAATCGCGACTACAAAGATAAAGGCAGAGAGGAGAACCAGAAGTAGTAATTTGAGTTGCGCATGGTGTAGCTCATGCAATGACCTTGTGTCAGATTAAGCTAATGGTGGCATTCGACTCCTTTCTCTCTCAACCAATGTAAAATACGTTGGAGTAATGTATTTCGTTGCCTTCTCTGAACTCTTACTTTGGTACGTATTGCAGAAGCTTTGTGGGTGTATTGTGGAAAATTTGGCATTGGCTCTTCACTGAGAGAAGGTGCTGCTTTGGGTTTCAACCTTTCACCTTTTGCCGCACATTTCTCTCCTGAAGTTATTCTGGCGGTATCAAAGACAGGCTTGAGATACCGTCAGCAGAAAGTGAACGACGCGAGATGTTTAGCATCATCTCAGCCATCACAATTTCCCTCCAGCCTTCTGCATTTGGATATGGATATATTCTGCACCCTGGCTATGTATGAGTGCAGGAGGAATCAGAGACCTGCCTAAAGCTGTTGCTCAAGAGACTTCTGGTTTGAATTTATGTACCTAACTGAGGCATGGCAGGCACCACGGGGACACCGTGAAACCTACCTTACTTAGAAAGAAAGCTTAGGCTGGATGCCTGAAGTGCAACAGTTTGCGTTGCCAATTTAAAACAGCTCCAAAGGAATTGTTTGACCCTGTGGAATAACACGTGCAGAGTCTTTGGGACAGCATGGGACACCTCGGTGCTGGCAGCCAAGATGGATTTCATTTTTCTTCAGACACCTCTAATAGGAGAAAACCTGTGCTTCTGCTTTGCTGTCTTGCTAATGTTGCTCCCGCAGCTTCTCTTAGGAAACTGTTTTGTCACTTTACTACTTTTAATTAAAAAAACCCCAACCCTTATAGTCTACCCTTTTTGTCCCTTGCCACAGTTTGGACTTCTTAATCATGATCAGTCTTACTGATGAGTTAGTTTACCCAAATTATCTGACTAACTTCCCTTTCTTTTTTATAGAGAATTGTTTCCCTTCATCTTTCTTGTCTCTGAATGGATCATGCTCAGCTCACACAGGCCCTCTTTCCACTGTCCCGCTGTGCCATTTTTCATTTTCCAACAATCGTAAGAATTAGACATTAAAAATGTGTATTTCCTTTGGGTAGTTGTGTAGATTCATTGAGTAGGCAGGTATGTCCTTTACGTATGCTGACATCCAGTTGGCTAATGAAGCTTCCGCTGGTTTGCTTGGGAGTTTGCTTCGTCGTCCTAATGTATGTAACAACTAGAATATTTTTTTTTCTGTGCTGATATTATACTTTTTTCATTTCACTGAATTTTGCCTCCCTGGATTACATTAAAAAATCTGCTCCTAGCCTGCTTGGTCAGTGTAGTTGAAGGTGACTTTCAGTTCACTGCAGTTGAATTCTCTTAGTCTTCAGTGGTCACCACCTCTAGCCTCTTCATCAATGTCCCGCTCCCCCCCGAGCTGCCAGCGATCTCTAAGGGATCCTTCAGCAGATTGATTTCACTGATTGGAGACTGTGGATATGCAGCCACAGGCTTTGGAGAGTGGCTGCTTTGGTTCTTGCAACTAAGAGTTATAAGAACAGAAGAGTGTGTTTCCTGCGAAGACTTTAATGATAAAGAGGGAAGGGAAGAACAGCAAGTGCAGAAATTTCTTCTAAAAAAGCCTTTCTCCTTTTTTTCCTTTTTTTCTGGAGGTACCAATGTATGTAAGGGTTTTTTCATGTGGTAAGTTTTTTTTTACATGCTGGATTTTGATGGGAAGTTAGGGTTGGCTTCTTAAATGCTGAAAAGATGGATTGGATAAAAACCAGGGAGCCATACACAGGTTTATATGCAATTGAAAATTTGAAGTTTTCCTCATAAACACCAGTGTAAATCAAAAAGTCTTTTATCTGTTTAAAGATGTGGAGGAAAGACCAATTAGGCCAGCTCTGCAACTCATTAACCTAACAGCGTGGCAGTCACCTGAGAAGGGTCCGTCTATACAATCTGTTTATACATGTTATACTAACAAATGTTGTTTAAAAAATACAGCCAATCCCAAGAACAAGGGCCGGACCCCGTATCTTCTTTCCCAGCTAGTAGGCAACAGTCAGGTAACCCTTTTCTACCCAATTAAACCCAATGTAATCTCGATTTCTTCTCTGTACAACTGAAGAGCTTCAGGAAGGGAGATGGCAATTGGTCTCCTCATCTCTCTCGCATCAGCCTCTGGCCAGCCATTCAATGTTGTTAGATGGAAATGTGGAAACGAACTTGTGTTTCCCACTTTCTAGGCAAATGGTCTTGGCGAGTAGGTTGTTACAGCAACAGCCTTCCTGGGTCTTGGTCCAGCTGTGTTCTCCAGCACCACGGTGGTCTGCACTGACTTTTGTGGGGAGCCTAACCCCGATCCACGTACCTTAGGTGTGCTCTGGCAGTACCTGCAGGGATGGAGGGATCCCCGGGATGGGGCTCACCTCACATGGGAGTTAGTCCCGTTGATCTGCCTTCACAGCTCGTTAAAGAGGCACCTTGAGGGTGTGATGCAGCCTGTGTATTTTAGAAGTGTACTTCGTGTGTATTTCTTCTGTGTTGACTATAACGGGATCCTAGGTGATAAGCTCTGATGTAGCTATCTGCTTCTAGACCTAATCAGAGAATCCCCAGTCCTTGAACAGAGAGAAATCTGCTCAAGTCTTGTAAAAACCGTAGCACGTGGTTGGAAATGTGAGCTAGAATTAAAGCTTTACATGTTTGGCACATTTTGAAGTCAAACGGGGCTGGGTGCAGAGTTTTCCAGGGTGAAAGGCAGCTGAGCTATAGTTTCCAGCAGTTTAATCTGGGGCTTGGGTGCTTAAGTCCCACACTGGGTATGGAGAATGTTTGGAGGAATCTGATCCTTTTTTAGCAAGGGATGATAAATAAGAACTCTGCTTAGGATGATGTGAACAGAAAACGAATAAGGAGCCTAGAAGTTAGAGCACTAGCGGGGCCATGAAGAGTCAGGTGCAAGCCCTCACGAAGTGTCCTACCTCTGAGCTCTAATGGCTCCATCTCTTTTTGGCAGTAAGTCCCCGAGTCAGATATGACTTGAGCCTGGGTGTCCATAGCATCTAGCACTGATATCCTAAGTGTGGCTTTTTCTCCTTTTTTGCTTTTTTTTTTTTTTTTTTCAAAAGTCTGTGCTTTACCTCTGGGTAGAATCTCAAGAAAACATGGAAAAGCCATTTTTTTTGTTCTCCAGTCAGCATTTGCCCCTTGTGACCTATTATAGAAGTCGCTATACCATTTTCTGGGTGTCCAGGCTCATTGGCAATTTTTGAGCATTTCCACAGTGTCATCTTCGTAAAGACGAGTTTTGTAGAACAGCTTACAGGTGTTTTCAGTTAAGTATTTCAGCTAATGTTAAATTAGGATCTGTTCACATGGAATCACCTGCACAGTCTTTCAGTTGTACAGGCAGGCTGTCAAGCAGAGGCTTTCATTTGGCTGCCTCACCAGAGCTTACAATAAATAAACAAACTTACTAGCAAAGGCTTGAACAGCACAGCCACCTGACCCGTAACTGCGGCTGGATGGGGGACAGGGGCCTGTGTTTTCGACGCAGGATCCTAGTAGTCAGAAGGAGATAAAGGTTTCCTCAAGGAGGAACCGGAGCAGAGAAGGAGCAGAAGACACTGTCCTAATAGTGAGGAATATGAGACCCTCGAGACTGTTGGGCCTGTGGTCTAATGCAGGTCGTCCTGAAAGTGTTGTAAAGACCGGCACCGCAGGCAAAGAGCTGGGGAACGGAGCAGACAAGTGGCAGCCATGGCTTGCCGCCCGTCTTGAAGCTCCAGAGCTCAGGTTATGAGCACTGAGCTCAAGCAGGGGGAGGAAAAGACTGTCCTCGCATGCCCTTCTTTTCCTTCATTTACTACTGTTGCTTTAGAAACTTGGCCTTACCCTTGTGTGATAGTGCTCCTAAAGCACCACCATCGCCTCTCGGAGTCAAACTGAGCAGTTTCTGGCCGCAAACAAATGGTGGCTGCCCCGACTGGCCGAGGGGACCGGACCGTTGCTGGTGACCTGGAGCTGTGCCCAAGGGCTCGGAGGGGAGCGGTGTCTTCCAGCCTGAATCCAGCCACAGGGACTAGAGAAGCAGAAAGTTGCTGGCACGTGCACGTGTGCATGGGTACACACATGTACATCTGCATATGCATGCATGTATGTGCATAGCTGTATATGCATGTATCAGATACATCTGGATATGTTTAGGCATATATTGCATGTGTGTGTACATATTGCACATGCATATTATACGTACGTATAAAAACCTCATGTTTTAAGCAGGCTGGAGTGTGGACAGGGAGGGAGAGGGATGCTGAGAGCCAGAGGGGAGAGTTAAGGAGAGTCGTAGGCAGCAGCCTTAGTCGCCGGCTCAGTGAAGGCCCCAGTCCAGCTTGGGAGCCAGCGGGAACAAACCTGAAACGGTCCAAGAGGACAGGAGCTGTGCGCTGTAAACGCGTCAAAGAACCGTGTAACCCCGCAGCCAAGCAATCCAGGAGGAGATGTGGAAAAGCCAGGCACCTCGGCTGGCTGCGTGGGGAGAGAGGCATTGCCCAAGTGTGCCACAGGGACAGAGTTTGCCTCCTGAGTAAGAGGGGAATAATGAAAAGAACGCCGCCCGTCGGCAGAGCTGCTGATTTTGTGATGAATGACGTGTATGTCAATGGAAAGTTATTCAGGAAAAAATAAAATTTAGTTCTTTTATTCTGAAAAACTGTTAAATTCGTGCTCTTTTTTGTTAAACCCATTTATTAACTTTCTGTAGGTATGAATTAGGAGCAGCTTTGTTCATTGGATGGGCTGGAGCTTCACTCTGCATAATCGGTGGCAGTATATTCTGCTTCTCAATAGCTGAAAACAGTAATTCTCCAAGGTAAAACACAAGTTGTACTTACTGAAAGAAATCAATACTGGCGCATTTGTACCCGCTACATGTATGTGGCTTGATTACTTTTCCCAAACACTTTATAGCGAGGTTCAGAAAAGGATTGTGTGGATGAAAGAAAATAACGGGATTTAAGGATAATGCTCTGTCTATCATGAATGTCATTAAGAAAAGCTATTGACTCAGAACAAATACTTGTGTTATGTAAACTCGATAAATTTACTACAGCTGGAAAAAAAATCCATTCACTGATGTAGGAAAAGTGGTCAGGTCACTTTGCAGATGTGACAAGTTTATTTAGTCACAAATCATCAGCTCAAAAGTGAGAGAGGTGAAGGACGGGCCCTAATTTACTTGGCTGTGAACGAGAGATACGAGTTTATGTAAGAGTGAATTGCAAAGAGAGATGCTGGAGGGGAAATGTCAAACCAGAATGAGACCACAGAGGCAAGGAAGGTGCCCCCCCCACCCCGCCCCCTCCCCTGAAATCTATAGGTCCGTTCCTATACATTTCTTCTGGGTTTATACTGCTGTAATGCTTGGGTACAGAGGTGTTACCCGTCCGTGGGATGAGCTGTAAATGGTTGATTCTCTCTCTTTTCTTTTCAGGAGGGGGTATGCATATAATGGAGCCACATCTGTGATGTCTTCTCGTACAAAGGTCCACAACAGTGTCCCAGACAAAACCCCACCAAAGCACTTTGACAAGAACGCTTACGTTTAACGGTACTGTTGGGAGATTCAGAGCGTTTTAAAAATGAGTTTGTATGTTTCATGCAGAGTGATTTCCCCCCACCCCAATGTAATTACTACTAAGATGATGACTTTTTAAAACATTAACTTGCAGCTTTTTACATATTGATGTAAATTTATTATATAATATTTTAAGATTGATGTTGGTATTGTAAAGTTTATACCTGGAAATCATGAGCTGACGTTGCTTTCCTGAAAAAAATAAACGGTGTATTTACCAACTCAGTATGTCAATTGCTTACGGGAATGGCGTCACACACATCACACTGACTGCAGTGCATCATTGCAACCGTTTCTAAAATGGGTTCAGTACTGGACAAAACAGCCATACTCTGTGCAGGTTAACATGTAAGATATCCCACCACTGGTGAGCAGTGACGTCGGAATTGCAGAGCACATCGTAACCGCAGCGCCAGACGACGACAGTCAGTGGGAATCAGCAGGCTCTTACCTCCTTATCGCATTGCCGGGGTGGACGGACGTGCAACTTGGTCAATTTGGCGCCATAGGAGTAAGAAAAGGAAGAGACTGGGTGAAGTGGAAAGAAGTACGGGATTTGGGGAGGCAGGAGCAGGTGCTAGGAAGAGTCAGGGCCAGCTGTTAAGAAAACAGTCACTTAGAGAGGGTCTTGCATGGCCGAAGAAGAATGCACGCACGAGAAGAAGAACGCACGTGTGACCGTGAGCACCAGTGTGCACGGCAGGGAGAGAAAAGGTTGAGGCTGCAGCCTTTGGGGAGTTTTGTGGTGGGCAAGACAAGGCCTGGAGACAGTTCCTACATTCCGCATTTGCTTTGTGCCGCTGGGCTCCTGCCCTGCCTCAAGCACTCGCCCCTGCTGGTGACAAGTCACTTCCCAGGGGTTGTTTTCGTTCCCCCCCGCTGGGCGGGGCGCTGGGCCACCTTCGGCTCCGGGGCTCCAGGATGGCTCCAAGCCACTGGGTTAGGAAAGGGCAGGAAAAACCCCAGGCGATACCAGCTGGCCGGCTCTGCCAATCACATTCCCGAAGGGCTGGCCGCGTAAAGGCGGGCAATACTTAACAGCACGTTTCAGATAATCCTGAATTACAACAGTTCAAAAATTCAGCTAGCACCTTTTTTCTGGGGCCTGTCCATAGAAATGCGATGGCTGTTGAGGGAGTATTTGTACAACGATTCAATAAACGAGATTAGAGATTGTGAATAACCACAAAACGCTTTCTAGACTGGGACCCTAAAATTAGACACAAACTCAGGTCTGTCTTGAGGTTTGAACAGATGGACCCTTGGAGTATCATTTTGGGACAAAGGCGTAAATGTAAAATATGAATAGTCCTATTTATTAACGGCACAGTGTGATAGAAAAGGTTTTGTATCTGATACCACCTAAAATACATCAGAACTACAAAGCCAGTCAAGGTTCTTTTTATTTTACCTTATTTTTGAATTTCATTTAAGTCAAAACACTACTGTGTTTTTTTAAGAAGGCACCCACTATGGACAAAACAGAAATAGGAAAGTACTTGCGCAACAGCAGGTCAGTACTTTTCTCACCTTAGCTTGACGTTTTAATTCCTTTTCCAATTGTTGTGCTTTTATGTTAACTAAGACTCAACTCTAATAGAAAAAAAAAGAGTAACTTCCCAAAACAGGAGGCATTTAATAATAACTAGTTTTAAAGCTGAGGCCTTTTTTTCCTTTTCATTCGGTGTTTATTGTAAACCATGTTAGAAACGTAACATTTTAATATGGAAATATTTTATTTAAAATGTTCACAATTTTATATAAAGTTTATGATAAAATACAAGAAAATGTGCATTTAAAAATTTTATAAAGTAATACTCTGGAGTAAATTCTGTTCATTGGTTAACAGGCTTTCTTGCAAGACCAGTTTCAATCTTTAATGTAAACATTCGAGGCAAAATCTTCACCTCAGTGAAATCAAAGAGGCTTTCACCGTTGAGTTCACGAGAAGGAAGCATTAACTCTCCATTTCCAAAAAGACATGGCCAGTAACGGGTATGTGAATATTCTTCTTTCAAATTCAGGACTGAAAGACACGAGAGGTCTGTAACAGTGTTCCTTGTTATTACATGACCAATATGAGAAATGAATAGGAAACACGTGACGTTTTCAACTACATTTTCAACCCCAACAGAACCTGAAAGCAGCGCCTCCCACCAGGAACACAACTATTATATATCTGAAGAATCACTCCAGTCTGTTACAGTGACTAAGCTGCTTTTTAACGTGCTTGTATTATCAGCTTCATGAAGGCCTGTTAAAATAACGAAAAAAATATTAACAATTATTAATAATATTTCAGGGGTATTTTTACTCCGTATTTATCTATGAGATAAAAATCACATACTATGTGAGCAAACACCTGTGGACTTAAGGAAGTCCAGAATTTCAACCGGTGAGGGAATGACAAGTGTTGATAATATGAAGGCTGTTTCTGTCACAGAATGCAATGCACAGGACAAGCAGGCAGTGTCAACATTACTTTCCCTTTAAAAATAACCTGAAGTATCTTTATGTAACTGACACAGCTTTAACCTTTAAGTATATTGAAATGTTAGGGCTCAAAACTACTATGTAAGTTCTAGGTAAGATTGAAGCTACTACTTTACCAGTAGCTCAAATATTTATCTCAGCCTGCTAGGTCACTTAGACGTCTTGAACAAACCTGAAATTTGGTTATTATTCTCAAGACAAAGTAAGGAAATTTCCCTCCTCCCTTAAGTTTGGGAAAGGATTAAAAAAAAAACCTGGATGATTAATTTTTAAGACGAGGTTGAAGCCTGATAGTACTAAATTTGAGATTTTAAAACATAAGTTTCTTGGCATCTCTGTGTATTTAAGTGTGTGTGTTGTTTACATGTTAAATAGGTAGCATAAATATCATATATGATATTTATATGACATAAAACCAAGCACACAGTTTTCTTACGTGTTCTTTTCTTATAAAATACCATATATTGAACTACAATATGTAATACAGTATACTTAAATTCTCCTCTAGGTGTGTCAGGCGCTTAAGGCTTATAATTAGAAGTATGAATAGGTTACCTTCCTCCTTTGGTACACTTGTCTTCGGAAGACCCCATGCATGTACCACAGATGCAGCATTCGACTCATTTTTCTGAACTGCCAATGCCTTCTGGCCTCTGTCATCTTTCATTAATAAAAAGTCATCTTCTACTGATGATATATCCCAATCATCTTCATCAACTTCTGTGAACTAATAGGGAGAAGAAAAAACATGCATTTTTCCTCTGTCTGTTCAAGTTGTGCTGAGATCTTCCATAAACTCAACAATGTGAAACCGCTGAAGAAAAATGCACTGCCACATGGCCTTTATGACATCTATCACCACAGTTTTTAAATCCACATAATTCAATTACCTAAGTTATATTAATTCACTATTATAGTTCTAAAGCTAAAAGTGGTTGTGGGGTTTTTTTAAGTCAGGAACTGCAAAAGTTAAAAGTTCTGTTTTCAGAATGAAAACAGAATTACATGTCTAACTTAAAAAAGGATCGTGTTTTCTGGGATATTAGCTATTCCAATGAGATGGAAAGTCCTTTAAGCGTAAGAATGTATATTACTCATGTGAAAATAAAGACATGACGTTATCATGCAAGTTGGCAGTTTAGTTTGCTATATAAGCATTCTGTATTCATGCTAGAAAAATTTAATATCGCAATAAAGGCCTTTTCAATTTAAAACTGATTTATTTAAAGAGAAAATTAAATAATGAAAGTTAAAAAACCCACATGGTGCTCAAAGTTAAAATATGTATTCCTCTTAAGACTCACTGTCAGCATGTAAAGGGATACTCTTAATTAAGTGGTGGATTTGCATAGTGAGTTCACAAAATGAGAGTCAAGTCAAACAGATGAACCTGAAGGCAACGAGTCCGTGGTCTTTCTTATCTCACCTGCCTGAGAACTAAATATCTTAATTCAGCTTTTGAAAGAAGAGCTACAGCATTTCCCTATTTGTCAATCAGATGTGGTTCAATGGAATCGAGCCATTATGAGAGCGCTTAACTGTGGAAAGCGAAAGATGGTTTCTCACAAAGCTAAAACCTTATTCCACTGGAATCTCTCGATATTACAGCAAGATACAGAAGGTGCTTCTATCGCACAGAAGAAAGATTCAGATGCTATTAGAAAACAATGTAAGGTATGTACATACTAGAGAAAAATCAACAAATATGAATGTGTTGTGTGTCTCGAAAGAAGGGAAGAGACCGCAGTAACGCTCTATCTTGCAACATAATTCAATTTTAACATTGCAAACTGTTTTTCAAAAACTGACAGATCTGCTCGGTGTGCTGTACTATTAACATACCAGGATTCAACATTTTGCTGTTTTAAATTATCTGCATTTGGAGGGTGTGGTAATGGGAAAGTCAGAGTCACATATATTGAGAAATGCTGGAGGAAGAGCTTCCTCAAACATTCACTAAGTCCCAACTGATTTTTAAAGTACAAAATACAGAGAAAAACGTCAGCTTCAAACAGAATTCAGTTTTGATTAAGTGTAAATACACAGCACCAATCAAAACTGCTGAGCAGTTTTATTAATTCAAAGACTTACTCCAAAGAAATACCATAATCCATACAATGTCTGGTACGGGTGAACTCAGGTCATACAGCTTCAGGTAAGCACAAAATCAATTTTCTCTAAAATGTTTCTGAAGTAACTTCCGTAAAACATGACCTTCATAAAACATATGACAATGGGATGCCTTACAAAGGTTTTATGGTATTGTGGGTTTTGAGAACAACCATTAGCAGCTGTAAGTATTTAAGCTATTAGTATTTAAGCTAATGAAAAAAATTGGATTTTTGGAGAAACCATCATTCCAATGGCATTTTGTGCTTATGTCTTTGGGCACCTTTGAAAGTCCCACCTAAAATTTAAAGAATTAACTTGAACTATATGCCTACATTTAAACATATAAATATAGACATGAATATATGCACATTTGTATAGAATTAGCAAGAATACAAGATGGTGTGTTGCTCTGTAATGATTCCAGAAACAAAGTAGCAACACCTGCCCTGGGTTCATGAACTCATTTCAAACTCATCACGTCCATACAGCAACACGCCACTATGTTAATACACCAGGGACACAATGTATTCTAAATTAATCATAGCAAAAATATTTTTCATAGAATGGTTTGGGTTGGAAGGGACCTTTAGAGATCATCTAGTCCAAACCCTCT